CACTTATTTAAATGAACAGTTTAGATAATTTGTTACAATATACACAATTTTTAAATCTTGAAATTCTTTTTCTTTTTTTTTCTTTTTTTACAAAAATAATGGTCAAGCCGCGATGAATGTTATAAAGGTTTTACAAAGCTTAAATTGCAATTTTCAATGAGTTATGAGGTGAGGCTTCACTTATTTTAATAAGGTAAAAGCCCTATCAAACCAGTTTCCTTCAAAGTGAGGCTCTAATGTTTTCTCTTTTTTTCTAATAAATCATAGGCGTTATAGAAAGTGCATCTTTTATTTCTATAATGTTGCTACAAGGCCTAGGCTTCATGAAAACAAAATAAAGCCTCATCTCAAATCTTCGTCTAGAAAGCACTTTTGGCAACGGAACTGTGTATCGCTTTAAAATCAATTTCCATCACCGACAATGAAATTTGAAACTCGCAAATGATATAAATCTTTCAGATATTTGAACACTTATTTTATAGCAAAATAGGCGATCTAGATATTTTTTTACAATATACACTGTTTTTAGAGCTTAAAATCCTATTTTTTTTCACCACCCTATGTTCAAGCCAAGATATGACATATAAAGTTTTTTTAATACTTCAATTGCAATTTTCAAGCCAAGATACGACATGTAAAGGTTTTTTAACGCTTCAATTGCAATTTTCAATAAGTTATGAGGTAAGGATTACTTATTTTGATAGGGCTACAGCCCTATCAAATCAAATTTTTTTTTTTTGACAAATGTTTGATCTTTTATTGATCTCTAGAAACCAATTACAGAATCAGAAATAAACAAAGAGGGAAGATGCCCCCCCCCCCACCCACAACCACCACCACCACCACCACCACCACCCATTTGCCTAAACATCAGCTAAGGAATTAGCTTCACAGTAAACATGAGAAAAAGAAACCGTGAGAGAGAGAGAGAGTGATATCCATCACCCTAAGCCAAAGTGAACGCAACTCCCAAAGCATCCACTGCTCCCTTAACTGCATTCAAGGAGTCGCCTTCGATCCAAACAGAATCCCCACAATTCATCTCTTTTAAAATCTTCAACCCATGATATACCGCACTTAGTTCAGCCTTATTAGCAATAGCACAACTAATGGGACTAGCAAATGAAAAAATAACATTACCTCATCCATTTCTGAGCACCCCACCAATACTTGCAATAACTGAATTACCTAGGGAACTACCATCAAAGTTGAGCTTCAAAGTACCTGCCAGCGGTGGTGACCAAAATGATTTGGGACGACAACTCCTACTTCCAAGCATAATGAGATTGCTGAGATTTGAAAAAACATCAATCTTATTCACTCCCCTCCCGAGCCTCCCCTAAAATTCTCTTCTGGAAATAACTATGGTGGCTCTAAATTTAGTTTTCAATGCCAACAATAAAATTTGAAACTTAAAAAATGGTACAAATCTTGCGAATCTATGAACACTTATTTAAATGGACGGTTTAGATAATTTGTTCCTATATATACAATTTTTAAAGCTTGAAATTCTTTTTCTTTTTTCTTTTTTTTTTTACAAAAATAATGGTCAAGCCGCGATGAATGTTATAAAGGTTTTACATGCTTAAATTGCAATTTTCAATGAGTTATGAGGTGAGGCTTCACTTATTTTAATAGGGTGAAAGCCCTATCAAACCAGTTTCCTTTAAAGTGAGGCTCTAATGTTTTCTCTTTTTTTCCAATAAATCATAGACTTTATAGAAAGTGCATCTTTTATTTCTATAACGTTGCTACAAGGCCTAGGCTTTATGAAAACAAAATAAAGCCTCATCTCAAATCTTCGTCTAGAAAGCACTTTTGGCAACGGAACTGTTTATCGCTTTAAAATCAATTTCCATCACCGACAATGAAATTTGAAACTCGCAAATGATACCAATCTTTCAGATATTTGAACACTTATTTTTATAGTAAAATAGACGATCTAGATATTTTTTTACAATATACATTGTTTTTAGAGCTTAAAATACTATTTTTTTGCACCACCCTGATGTTCAAGCCAAGATATGACATATAAAGATTTTTTAATACTTCAATTGCAATTTTCAAGCCAAGATACGACATGTAAAGGTGTTTTAATGCTTCAATTGCAATTTTCAATAAGTGATGAGGTGAGGATTACTTATTTTGACAGGGCTACAGCCCTATCAAATCAATTTTTTTTTTTTTGATGATTGTTTGATCTTTTATTGAACTCTAGAAACCAATTACAGAATCAAAAATAACCAAAGAGGGAAGCTGCCCTCCAACCCCCCCCCCCCCCCCCACCACCCATTTGCCAATACATCAGTTAAGGAATTAGCTTCACGGTAAACATAAGAAAAAGAAACCGTGAGAGATAGAGAGAGAGATATCCATAACCCTAAGCCAAATTGAACGCAACTCCCAAGGCATCCACTGCTCCCTTAACTGCATTCAAGGAGTCACCTTCGATCCAAACAGAATCCCCACAATTCATCTCCTTTAAAATCTTCAACCCATGATATACCGCACTTAGTTCAGCCTTATTAGCAGTAGCACAACTAATAGGACCAGCAAAAGAAAAAATAACAATACCTCATCCATTTCTGAGCACCCCATCAATACCTGCAATAACTGGATTACCTAGGGAACTACCATCAAAGTTAAGCTTCAAAGTACCTGCCAGCGGTGGTGACCAAAATGATTTGGGACGACAACTCCTACCTCCAAGCATAATGAGATTGCTGAGATTTGAAAAAACATCAATCTTATTCACTCCCCCCCCCCTCCCCCCCCTCCCTTCCTTAGTGGCTGAAAACCATAACCAAATCGTCTATTTAATTACATAAATCATTTTCTTCAATTTTTTTTATATATAGGGTGCGGTTTGTATATAAAGCCCACCTTCAACTAGCGTTGAGACATGTGGTTTCAATATTGAAAATCTTTATGATAGCCTTAAAATATATTTTCATCTTTATTTATAAAGTTTAAAGCTTCAAAAATAGTGTAGATCGACATATCTATAAAAACTTAAAAATTTTGAAAATTGAAGGTTTAAAATTTTGTTACAAAATAAACTATTTCCAAAACGTGAAATCTATTTTTTTTCTCATATTCATACATCTTGATGTCGAGAAGATCAATTTGAGGATATTCGGGCATGAAAACAGCCTCTTATAGTGAATATTTTATGATAGGCTCCAATTTGATTGTTTAGAGCCTCCCCTCTATATAAACTTTTCCGGTGCAGTTTGTATAGAGCATAGGCTCTAAACAATCAAATTAGAGCCTACCTTCAAATAGTGTCAAGAAATGTGGATTTAATACTGGAAGTCTTTGTGATTGTCTTAAAATATATTTGTATACTTATTTATAAAGTTTAAAGCTTAAAAAATAATGCATATCGATATATATATTAAAACTTAAAAATTGACAGTCCAAAAATGTATTACAAAATACACTATTTTCGGAACTTGTAATCTATTTTTTTCTCAAGTCTATGCATCTTGATGTCGAGATGATCAATTTAAAGATATTTGGACATCAAAACAAGCATTTTAGTTAAGTTTTTGTGGTAGGTTTAAATTTGATTATTTAGTGCCTCGCTCGAAATATACTTTTCCCTATACATAATCCATATTGCTGTTACTTTTGACCTACATTTGTCAAAACATGTGTCCCTTCCACATTATACGCTACTTCAACCATCTACGACATGTGCCAACCCGCCACTCATAGAAAATACTCATAGAAAAACACATCGTGTTGAGTTAGAATAGTTGCAAATGGGCAAAATATTAAATACTTCGTATTTACGGGGTATTCCGATAAATTTCCGATTAATTTATAAGAGAAATATTTAGTGGCCCTTCAAAACCAACGTATCACCATGAACCCTTGATCCATTTTCCAAAAACATATGATATTCTTTTGATAGAAATAACTTATGATTACTTTGATTCATTCTTTAGATCAACCTTAAAATAAAAAAACAAAAAAAAAGTTTAAAAAAAAAAAAAAAAAAAAGACAAAACAAAAAAGCAAAAAAACAAAACAAAAAAAAAACAAACTAAAGTGTTTATGGTGCTAAAAAAAATGTACCATATGAATTTTCCCTCATAACTCTTGATCGTCTATTTGAGCAACAGTCAAATATGCGTGTGGTTTCCATAAGGTTGCAAACTTAAACAATCCATTTAAGGTGCACCTCCAAATTTTATCATAGCATATAATTTTGATGTACAAATAGTCTTATCTTATAATCTATTTTTATATCTAATTATAAAATTTTAAACCCCAAAAATGATTAAAATCAAGTACATCTATAAATATATGAAAATCTTGAAAATTGACGGTCTAGATAATGTGTTGTAAGATGCATCAGTTCTGGGACTCAAAATCCTTTCTTTTTTCAAAGTCAAACATCTAAACATCGAGATGATCAATTAGAAAGTTTTTCAATATTAAAAAAACCTTTTCCAATGGATTTTTTAGGTGTATCTGTAGTTCTACATTTTAAAGTAGCACGCTTATATAAACTTTTCCCATCAAATATAGGGCTTGACATAAAACTATTTCTTTCAAAGTTGTTCATAAGATAGATCAAAGATGATATGAAAATATTCAAATAAAAACGAAAATCCACTGGAAATAATTTTAGATAAAAAATTATTCAATGAAATCATTTATCTTTAGTACAAGGTACTCACAATTAACCTTGACCATTGGATGTAAAATTAAATGGCTATACTTTTTTTCATTGACCAAGCTCAAACTTCAAAAGTAATTTTTTCGAACTTTGAGGCACACTCGAGCTATCAGATTTTCATATGTAACCTTATCAAAAGTAAATAGTTTCTTTGTATACAATCCCATTTTAGTCTACCATAAATGGGCCTTTATTTAGTCAACCATCTTACAAGTCTTGTGGACCACCATTTGTTCCCCTATTTTATTTATGCACAGTCCCGGGCTCTATTTAGACCAACCTTATACAAATTGGGGATTATGTAAAGGACATGGAGTATAAAGAGCACGCCTCACCTCTCTGTAACTCAATTCAAGATCTATCTAAGATGAAAGGAGCACCTACAGTGGCGTTGCTACTTTTCTTCTTGGCGATAGCCACCTCCATGTCAGATTACTGGAGAGAGACCGTAGGCATGGGCCAACCCAAGGTGAGTCACCTCCACTTCTACTTCCATGAAGTGGGCAAAGGATCAAACCCCACCCCCATACTCGTGGCCGAAGCAAATAGCACAAAAACCTCACCAACCAGCTTCGGTAGCGTATACGTCGCTGACGACCCACTAACAGAAGGCCCCAACCTCACGTCGAAGCTTATCGGCAGGGCACAGGGAATTCAAGCAGCTTGTTCTATGACTGAGTTCAACCTCATCATGGCGCTCAACTTTGTGTTCACGGATGGCGAATTCAACGGAAGCACGCTCACGGTGGTTGGGAGGAACCCTATACTGCAGGATGTGAGGGAGATGTCTGTGGTGGGTGGAAATGGAGTTTTCAGACTGGCTCAGGGCTATGCACAACTCCGAACTATTTTGTTGGCCACTGGCTCATTGACTGTGGAGTATAATGTCACTGTGATCCATTACTAGCTTCTTATTTCACTGGTGTTGTCAGCTATTTTGCAAATTCTTTTTGGAGAGAATAACAAATTCAGAGTGTATGAGATAAAAAGGATTGTTGTTTACCAATTTTGGGAAAATTTATCAATAAATGTTTTAATATTTGGACAAAAAGTCATAGCATCTCATTAAGTTAGCCGTCTTGCCTTTATCATCATCCGGTTATCTCATCATTATTAATTAAATGTTTGGGCCTCGATCTTTTATATATTTGTTTTATTAAGAATATTTTATTTTTGAGAAATTTACGCTAATATGCCTTAAATTAGTGTAATTAAAGAATTTCATTTCAATTTTCAATTTTCCATTTTCAATTTTACGCATGCAACTTTGAAATCGGGCCTCTATATATAAAGTCAAATGTAAATTGGGATCTTCAAGATCCAAAATCAAACTTGCCTAAAAGATGTTGTTTTGATCTCCAAAATCAAAATCAAATTTGAAACTTCGGATTTTAAAAATCCAAAGAGGGGATAATTTTGGAATAAAAAAATTTCACAAAAAAAAAAAAAAGGAGAGTGTAAAATAAAAAAATTTTGTGGGTATTTCATTAAGGGTGCAGTTTGTATAGAGCCGCGGCTCTCAACAATCAAAGTAGAGCACACCCTCAGATAGTGTCGAGAAATGTTTTTTCAATACTAGAAAACTTTGTGGCAACCTTAAAATATAGTTTTATCATTAATTATAAAATTTAAAGTTTCAAAATTAATGTAGATCAAGCAAATCTATGAAAATCTTGAAAATTGATGGTCCAAAACTGCGTGACAAGATGCACTATTTCCAAAACTTGAAATCTATTTTTTTCTCATGTCTATGCATCTTGATGTCGAGATAATCAATTTGAAGATATTTGAGCATCAAAACAACTTTTTCTAATGAAATTTTTAAGGTAGGCTCTAATTTGATTGTTTAGATCCTCGGTTTCATATAAACCTTTTCGTTTCTTTAATAATACACAGTTTGGAAAAAATGTGCATAAAATTCTCTTTGGTTTTTTTAAATCAATGCTGTTTCTCAAAACCGAATCAAAAAATAAAATCAAGCTCTAGAAACCAGTATGCCTTTTATTATGAAATTTGAAGCTACAAAGTACTAGATCTAGGAACAAGTAAGTGGTCACCCTGCATTCATTGAGTTCAATGGTTTTTGTATTCAACTAAGGGCGTGTGGAAATATTTTTTAGGGATATTTTAATGTGAAAGAATTTTTTTTGCATAAAAAGATGTATTGAGAACAATTAATATAAAAATATTTTCACATCTAACCACATGAACGAATACTTTCACGTAAAATATTTTTTGAGAAATATTTTCACGTGAAACAAACATTCCCTTTTTCGTACGTTGTCTAGGACGGGTTGTAACCTCATCTGCTTTATCACATCTATATGAATACATAGGTCGAATAACTAAATTTACCGAGTCCCATAAAAACAAAGACATACTACATCACTATCAAGAGATTGGATTAAATTCACAAATACCTCTAGAGTTACAAAATTATACCTAAACTTTTCCACAGAACTTACAATTGTTCAAACTTAGATACTGGCAATTTCTTACTTGCACATTTTTTAATAAATTCGAATAGACATGCCGTATGGTACACTATATTCCTTCTCTCTGTTTTTCTTACTATTAGTGAGATTCTGAACTTGGTCATTTTTCACAAATAAATTTTTTTCATAGGTTGTTTTTTTTTTTTTTCTTGCTTTGTTTATTAGTGAATTGCTTGTTTTCTGCTTATTAGAAAAAACATTAAGAGGTAGTTTTATCAACGTACATAACCGATTAGAAACTAAATAGGTAGCTTAAAACAACTTTAAGAAGAAACTAAAAATAAGTACAATTTTTTAGTTTATACTATAGAAATTAACGAAATTTATGATAATATCATTCTAAAGGATGAAGTTTTTATAAAGCTAGGCTTTGTGAAAACAAAATAAAGACTCATCTTAAATCCTTATTCAGTAACAGAAATCTCTATTATGGCTCTAAAATCAATATTCCAACACTGACATAAAATTCGACATTTAAAAAATATACAGATCTTGCTGATCTATAAACACTTATTTTTAGGGCAAAATGGACGGTCTAAATAATTTGTTACAATATATGCTATTTATAGAGTTGAAATCCTAATTTTTCTTCACAACAATAATGTTCAAGTCGAGAGGATTGATGTAAAAGTTTCCATTGCTTGAATTACAATTCGCGATGATATATGAGTGAGGCTTTACTTATTTTGACAGGGCTGCAGCCATATCAAACCTTTTTCCCATTCTAAATTACCAATTCTTAGAAATCCCTCAAAACGTTTTATTTTAGATTCATGTTTTTTCTCAGTTCCTTTTTTTCTTTTCTTATATTTCTTTTACTTCTACCCTTGAATGTCTGATGTTTAATCTTTTCTTTTCTCAAAATCTAAAAGTCCAAAGTTGATACATGCAAAACATTTCACAGAAGGTCACAAACATCAACTTCGAACCATAAAAGTCCCGAAGTTGATGTTTGCGGGGTGGGAGGAGCCAACTTTAAATGTCCAAAGATGTCTGGAACAACTTATGAGCAAAAAAAGATTGAACTTGGGGAAAAAAAAACAAAAACGGCTACTGCATAAGATCAAACTTTGGGGGATATTTCTTAAATAACAGTAATTTAGAGAAACGTTAATATAAATTTACCTATAAAGGGGGCGGTTTGTACAGAGCCGAGGCTCTAAACAATCATAATAGAGCGCACCTTCAAATAGTGTCGAGAAATGTGGTTTCAATACTGGAAATCTTTGTGATAGCCTTAAAATATATCTTCGTCTCTAATTATAAAATTTAAAGCTTCAAATAGTGTAGATCGAGCAGATCTATAAAAACTTGAAAATATTTAAAATTGATGCTCCAAAAATGTGTTACATGATGCACTATTTTCAAAACTTGAAATCTATTTTTGTTTTTCATGTACATGAATCTTAAGCATCAAAACAACCCCCTTTAATGAAATTTTTATAGTGAAATTTTTTAGGTGGGCCCGAATTTGATTGTTTAGAACCTCGCTTTTTCCATTCTATAGATTAGTATTGCATTGCTCTATTTCACATCATTAAACCACATGCGTAACGCATGTGTAACACTAGTATAATAATGAATGACTCGACATCTAGTTTTTCTGCTTATGAAACTTAGCCATTGGATTGATCCAATTGACTTGGTGTATTTTTCAATTTGAACATAATTTTTAAGTTGATGTTCCTGGAAAAGTTAAATTCCATTTAGTCCTTAAATTATCACCATATCGGCTGTTGAATGTTCGATGTTTTCTTTCCCCTTAAAATTCAAAGGTCTGAATTTGATACTTGTAACAAAAATTCACAAGATGTTTCAAACATCAACTTCGGACCTTCAAGATCTGAATTTGAGGTTTGTAACAAAAACACTCGTAAAATCAACTTCCAACAAATGGTCATCAACTTCAAACATTAAAGGCCCGAAGTTGATGTTTGCAAGGTGGGGGGCGCCAACTTAAAATGTCCGAAGATGTTTGGGACAACTTATGGGTAAAAAAAATATTAAACTTAGGAAAGGGGCTGGAATTGTGGTGGTAGCAACCGCACACCTAATTACCACATTGTGGTATCTATTCCTACCGTTGACACCCCCAATTTAACACCTTCAAAATGTAACTCCCTAATCTATTGAAAAAACAAGTAGGGGCATGTCTTCCCTACTTAATTACTTAGCTCATATGAACATATGAGCCTAACGGCAATGATTGAATCTGGGACTATCTGACGGTTACGATATCATTTTGTATTTAATTTTAATTTTTTTTCACAAATCCAAATAAATTGAAATTTTAGGTATGTATTCTTCAAAAATAGGAGAATCTTAAAAACATATCAAAAAATTAATTTGCAAGAAATAGATTGATCAAAATACCCCTGAAATGTTTTAGATATATTTTGTCAATTTTTTTTTGAAAATTATTTTTTAAATATTTTTATTAAGTGCGCTTTGATGAAAAGAATGGACGCGTAAAGTTTCAAGTTATTTAGATTTTTAAAAAAAAACATTAAAATTCAATTACTAAATGAGGTCGCGACCGTCGCATCGGCCCAGATTCAATCTGGACCATTGAGCTCATATGTTCATATGAGTTAGTGAGCTAATCTAAGCATTTTCTATAGATATAAAAAAATTCTTCCCAACACCTATATGCGAAAATAAACAGTGATTTCGCTTACCATCATCAACGTCCAAAGTTCATCACATGGTCACGATTGTCCGGTAGTGTTTTATTTTTTATTTATTTTCAACAAATTGGAATGACCTAAAATTTGGAGAGTACGTACATCTTAGTGAGACGCACCTAATAAAAATATAGAAAAAATAATTCGCAAAACAAAAATTGACCAAAATATCCCCGATATAGTTTGAGAGTATTTTGGTCATTTATTTCATGTAAATTATTTTTTTGATATTTTTCATAGATTCACTTATTTTTTATGAATACGCGTTCTAAATTTCAGGTTTTTCGATTTGTATAAAAAAAATTAAAAATAAATCACTACCGGACAATTATGACCGTGCGATGAACTTTAAAAAGTGATGAAGGTAGGCAAAATCACTGTTCATTTTTACCTATAGGTGTTTTGTAGCATCTTCATTCATATATATATATATATATATATATTTGAAGATGCTAGGGTGAGCCCATGGGCTCTTGGAACAGTGTAAGCCCAATGGCGTCGGGGCCAATCTGACAGTCATGACTGTATATCGACAATATAATTTTAATATTTTTATATAAATCCAAATAGTATGACATTTGGAGCATAAACTCTTCTCATCAAGGCACATCTAATAAAAT